TTGCCGATCTACCAGACTCTATACCTCATGGTTCGCAGAAAACATTGGCAGTCCGTTCTTCCCCATAAAGAGACAGCCATCTGGAGAACTCTTGCTCGATCTTACCTACAAGACAGACGGACAACTCGGTGCCATTTACGCCGGGGATATCGGCAAGTGGGCGCTGGTTGCGTTCAAAGACCCCAAAACCTGGGTCGGTACGTATCATCTTTCGCTGTAGTCCTATTCCGTTATGAGTCATTCCCAAAGATAAAGATATGAAGGTCGTCACAGAGTGGGTCACCCCTCGCGAAATCGCCAAGATTATCGAGGAAGAGTTGGGAGAAAAAAACGGTGATCAAAGAGGTCGACGACGAGAAGTGGAAAGCGATGAGGCACGAGGTTCCCGACTTCGAGGAGCTCTGGCTCAACTTTGAGTGGCTTAATACAAATTATCCCGACGGAAACGGTAGGGACATCGAGTTTTCTAAGAGCCTTATTCCTCACGCAACCACTGTCCGCGAGTATATCCGCTCAAAAGGCAAATCTCTGATCAGTTCCTAACCGGCTAGCGGCTCATCGCACTAATGATTCCGTATTGTATATAACTGGATGTTTAATTCAATGCAGAAGAATTAATCGTTGAATGCGGAAAGGTGCTCGTAACCTCATTTAAAATGAAGATAAAGACCACCATGAATTGTCAGATGAGGTAGGGAAGGACTAGGCAAGATATATCCTCGTTACTCTAGGAATTCTTGTAGGGAAGTACCATACTGATCAAGAATAGGTATCCCAATAGAGTTTGATATCCTAAGCAAATCATTCTGTGGCTGAGAGAATAAAGCCTTCCATCGGCTCGTCGACGCTCTCTTGACTCCAAGTTCAGCCCACCCCATAGAGACTACAATCTTTTTCGTACCCCATTTATCCTTGATTGGTACTAATCTTTCCAAGTCTTCCGAAGGAAGTCCCGTGCCAGGGTAGAGTCCAAGGAGGATAACGACTGGTGGCCTTGGCCATTTCCTTGACTTCCACGTCCCAGCCACTTGCATCCACTCGAAAACTTGGATATTCAATCCTACTTTGATTAGGTTTGGACAGTGATGGAAGAAATTCAGGATGGAGACCCCAAGAGAAGCTGTTTCCAGATTATTATCATATCTCGGGTAGAAGGATATGCCAAGTTCCAACAAACTCTTCTGATGTCTCAAAAGGAAACCGGGTAACCAGTTGGGTTGCAAGGTGTACTCCTCGAGATGTGTGAATATATAGAGGGTCTGGAGCGATTGGAATGTCCATCTGGCAAAGAGCTCTTGACGTTC